GGGACGACCAAGAAAGGACGAACAGCGACCTCCTGTCCCTCCTGGCAAACCCCGGGCTTCGATCGTGCCATCCCCTTCCCCCCGCACTGTTCGGCAGACCTCAACACCCTCGGCCCCATACGCGGCCTCGGCATCGCATGCCCTCCCACCTCCCCCGATGCCCATGATGCCGTCATCATCTGCGATGTCCTCCATCCCGCTGCTTTCACCCATGGGCGAAACCCGGCGCCTAGCCCAGGTCCAAGCCGATCGCCAAGTCATGAAAGCCCTGGACTCGAGATTACCCCGGTGGCCAGGTCCGCAGATCGCTTGGGATGGGCCCAACGTCGGTGTGCCAGGCTTCGGGTGGTGGGGAGAGGGAGCACCCGATTACGAGCGGTCGGCAGGAGGACTGCCGATGTTTTCACACAGGATGCGAGCGGTACTCAACGCCTTGGAAGGATATCGCGACACGAGGTGAGCAAGGGTTGGAAGAACGTGTTCTGACCCACAGTGGATTCCGTCACGCCGAAGCGCTGGATCGTATGCCGCTAGAAACAAACATCGAGTTTCTCTATTTCAACGTGAGTTTGTCTTGACCGACCCGAGCTGACGGTCAGACCCCTCTCACCTTGGGTATCATCCGACACAACGCCCAGTCCAGCCGGTACACCTCGCTCCGTGACTTTGACCAAGACATGACCCGGCTGTTCGACAAGGGTCGACGCTGGCACCCGGAAGGTTCTCGAGAATACGGCAGCGTCCTTCTCCTCCAGAGACTCTACAACGCTCTTACCGCGCCCTATCCAATGACACTACCCCCGAGTGGAGTGCCCGACCCTTCACCGACACTCTTTGCGTCTCTCCCCGCGGGCCCGGGCAACGCGAGATCCATGCACGAGACGACGCAGGAGCTTCGTGCCGGAGCAGCGGAGCAGGAAGTGGGCTTCGGCTTGACGACATACAGGGTCATGAGCAAGGATAGGATGTTCACCCCCGAGGCGAGGCACAAAGGGCAAGCGTACCGTGTCGGCGACTATATCCACCTGATCAATCCCGATGACGCGACGAGGCCAATCATCGGTCAGGTGTGGAAGACATTCGTGCCCACCAAAGGGTACCGCACGCATCATGTCACCGTGTGCTGGTACTACCGTCCCGAGCAGGCAAGTAGAGAGATTCACACCTCACATGACACTCACTGATGACACAGACCGTTCACACCGCGGATCGCCTTTTCTTTGAGCGTGAAGCGTTCAAGAGCAGTGAGTTGAGCAGTGCTGTGCTGTCTGATATCGCAACTAATTACCAGGCCACTTTTGCGATCACCCTGTCGAGGATATCATCGAGCGCGTCTCGTGCCAGTTCTACGTCAAGTATGTCCGCGGACGACCCCAGGCGCCGGAATACTTCCCTGGCTGGCCGACCTGTGAGTGAATAGTCCTCACGGTTTCTCTCCGTACTAAACCGTCAGACGTCTGCAACTCGCGATACAACGACAAGGAGTGGTTGTCCATCCGAATCAAGAACTGGGCCAGCTGCATCCCCGAGGAACTGCGCCAGTCCGAGTACATGTCCATCGTACCCTTTGAGCGACAGGTGGAGCCACCTTTGGTCCGCTCACCGTTTGTGCGCGGCGTCAAGGGCCCGGGGTTCCTTGCCGAGCCAAGGAGACAGATCGTGGCAGAGGACGACGAGGAGTACGAGGACCAGCAGCGTCGACGGGGTGGTCCGCCTGATCCCAGGAGTGCGCCTCCGAGACCTCCCAGACCCAGTATGCCCCACACCCCGCAGGGAACGATGCCGATGTCGACGCCATACATGCCGCCGGGTACTCCGGGGTCGGCACCGCCTCGTACGCCCCAGACGGCGCCAATGCCGGGTCAAGCGGGTTACAGGCCTGCCTACTTCCCCAATGGAGGTGGAGGAGCACCGCTCCCCCCGCTCCCGGTTGGACCGCCCGGAGTGCGCACCATCGTGACTACCATGGGCGGTCCGCAGACTGTGGATCAGGTGGCCCTTCGCGAGGTGCTACCGACAGAGACTGGTGCGTGCGGGTGTTCCCTCAATGCGGCGAGGACGTGGAGAATTGTACTGACACCCTTAGCCGCGCTTTTCGAGCGAGATGCCCGAGGTCAAGTCCTCTGGTTCTCTGGTCCGCCTCTACCTCAGGGAACGATCCCCACGCCGAAACGACCGGCCCACTCGCTCGAGTATCTCGCGTATCTCTCAAAGCGGAAAATGGGTGAGGACCCAGATGTACGATCAGCGAAGCGGCTTGTGAGGCGTGGCGCTGCTGGCGAGGTCGACGTCAAGAGCGAGCAGGAGGGAGAGGAGTCCGAGGACGTTGATCTGGGCAAGGTGTGGTGGGCCGAGGGGCAGAGCGCGGAGCAGATCGCCGCGGGCCTCAAGGCCGTGATCAGGGCGTTGTAAACCGTCGTGGGCGGCGTATGTGCAACAAGTCAGGTCCATGTCACCGACGGATACTTGGTGTGCCAAATGGCAAACAACTCAAGTCGCGACAGCAGTTCCGAATTGACGCCGTGGCGCCCGATGCATACACAACCATGCGATCTATGATATACCAAGCAAAAATGTCCGTCAAGCCCCATCGCCTCGTTACTCGTCAACCGCCCTAGCTCAGATCGAAGCCCGGACCAGCCGGCTTGCCGATCATCGCCTTTGTCGTGTTATCTCGGCATCGTTTGAGGAACTTGAACAGGGGCGAACCGCCCGTTCCCCTCATCTCGCCCAGCTCGATCTTGACCTCCTCTGCCTCGTCGTCGTCCGCCTCGGAGTGTCCGAGAATCTGCCTGATGCGCTCGCTCGGCCGCCTGCGAGCCTGCTGTACGATGTACAGACTGACGATGCGCATGTGTTTCTCCCTGAAGCGCTTGAGCGCCTCGAGCGCGCCGTCATATGCCTCGGCGAGCTTTGGGTGGGTCCGGGCGTAGTGCTCGACAAGAGGGCGGAGAGGCGTGGGGTGGGTAGAAAGGTGGAGGAGGAAAGTGCGATGGGCGAGGGGCATGTACTGCAGCATGCGCTGGACAAATGTCGCCTCGTTGGGTCGGGACGGTGTGGCGGGTGTCTCTGCGGCGGCGTCGGTCGACACGGGGTTGTGGTTGAGGGTGATCGAGTGGGAGGGCGGGGTAGGAGTGGCCGACTCGTCGTCGTCGGCATTGGCAGAGTGGTCGACCGTGAGGAAAATGTCGATTGCGTGGATGAGACTGCTCTGACCCGCGCTGGGTCCAGAAAACAAGCGGCCCCTCACGCCATCCGCCGTCGCTCTGTCCGCCATGTTCTCTGCCTGCGTACCCGCGGCATCGTCGTCGACACCGAGGAACGCCCATCCGGCGGATTGCGGGCCGTCAGAGTCGCCTCCTCTGAACCATGGTCGGATGAGGTGGTAGAACTCCTCCGGGTCGACGCTCTTCATGAGCGACATTGTGATGTCGCTGATCCGGTCGATCTGGACCGCCAACTTGCGGAGATAGTGCGCCAGACGCTTGAGCGCTTTCTCGTCGGCGACGAAGAGCTCGTCGAGCGATTGACGCATCAGCTTGAGTGCCTCGGCGCCGGCAATCTCGCAGAGCGCAGAGATGATGTAGAATTGTTCCTCGGACTTGGTGCCGGTGAAGGTGGTGATGACGTGGGTGGGCGGGTTGGTCGCGAGCGAGAGCTCGGCAGAGGGGTTGGGCGCGAGGAAGTTGTACAGCACCGTGTCGGAGTAGGTGACAATTGGTGGAAGGCCGAGAAGCGGCGAGATGGCCAACAGCGGCACTGAGATGGATTCGGGGATGGGGAGAGGTGTGGTTCGTGGCGTTGGCTCGGCTGGGGTGGTGTGGACATAGAAATGGAGGAGGAATGTCAGGACGAGGTGAGCCCTGCGGAGGAGCCGAATGGACGATCGAAGCCCCTCGGTGTCGAGCACGCCCATGGTTTCGATTCCAGCTCGCCACAGCTTTTCCCTCTCGCCACCGCCCTGGAGTCGCAGTTGCCCGTTCTCGCCTGTGCCCCTCGCCGCGTCGAGCGCAGACTCCCACAACTCCCACTCGAGCGGCAGGCGCGTCAGGTTCCGCGTGGCGGGGAGGAAACCCGTTCGGACATCGACTTCGAAATCGGCCGATGCGAGCGAAGCGACGTTCGGCGCGAGACCGCCCGAGAGGTGTGACGAGGTGGAGGGGAGCACAGACGGGGAGGACGAGGGGGATGCATAGGACGGGGAGAGAGAGAGGAAATGGCCGGAAGGGATGGAAGGACCGGCTTCCGGTGAGGTTTGGGTGAGGTCGCGCGACATGGTGGCGACGTGGGTCGAGTCGATGGGGAGGTGGAGGTAGGGGAAGTGGCGAGGGGCAGTAGAGTGGTCGGGTTGTTATACACAGGCGGCGTCGACGGTGCGACGACGGTGATGTGACGGGGCTGAGCCCGTTGCCGGGTTGTGGTCGTGTTTCGATGGGATGGTGGTTGTCAAGATGCAAGAGATGAGATGTGTTGGGGATGCGTTTACAAATACAATCGCCAGTTCGCCATTGAGGGACTTTTCCAAACCCGGATTTGATCCCGTTTCGCCCGATTCCGGACCTTTGGGTGGTGGATGGCCACGTGGCCAAAGTCCGATCCACAGCGAGAACGGTCCGAGTCTCCGGACACCGACGCGGGAGGAGGCGGAGTTCATATGATATACCCTGTCGCTCGCCCAGAGATCCACATTCTCATGACTCAATCCCACATCCAAGTGTACCGTTGTGTAGCCCTCCGTCAGGGCTATCCACCAGTAGTCTGACCAGACCATATGTATAGTGAAATGCAACACGATGTAATTTCGAATCGGCCGAATCAATCTTGAGGTGCCCCCAAAAAAAATAAATCGACGGCGGCGATCGCCGCTCGCGCGTCTACCCAATTTTTGTGGCGGGAAATCCACCAGATATCTCTCGTCGTCTTTCCGACCAATTTCCCGTCTGTTTCTCAACAACTCGCATCAAAAAGAGAAGAACAAGGGCTACAACCCCTACGTAGAGTGGACCCGCAGGGGTTTGAACCCTGGATCTCTCCAATGCGCAAAACATGCAAATGGAGCGCCTTACCACCCGGCCCCAGGCCCACAAAAGGTGGTAAAGGGTTTGGAAAGATATGACCGGAGATAGCGTTTCTCGGGGGACGGTGCGATTTCTCGCGCTTGATCAGCCTCCCACCGGATGTGAGGACTCCGGGCGCGGGCGATGGGTGCGATTGGCGAACATTTGATATGTGGATGAGGTTGTGCGACGCGGAATGGGGCGAGGGAAGCGGCAGCGGCGTTTCCCGTGCGCAGCCACATCCTCGCCGGTATTGGCCCAAGGACTGGCAGTATTCGCATGATTCGCACGACGTGAGGTTCGCGGGGTGCCCGTGGCTCGTGTTTCGGGTCCCGTGCGTGCGAAAAATATTGATGCCAGCGCTACCACCGATCACAACGTCTCGAGGGTCGCGAAGAGCACTCGGAAACCGCGCCGACGGCTCGCGGCGGAGCCTCGTGGAGCTGACGACTGCCCTGCCGATAGCGGAACGGAGCCGTCGAGTGGGCCTTTCGCTGCGCTACTGCGCTATATGTACGGCGATGTCGCGTCCGGCCAGGCGACCAGTTTGCCACGTCGGTGGCCGCGAGCATGACCTGCCGGACTGGGCGGCGACGCTCGGGAACGCTGCAATGCCATTTCGATGTATACGCTGAGAATTGATGACACGGATAGACCTCTCGGGGCTCGCTGCTTGAAGCATGTGTAGGAAATGAACATTGCGCGGTGCAGAACCAGGACGCCGGCCTGCCAAGTTGATCCTTCATGACGCTCGACGGTGCCACAACGTCGCGGGCCACAAAGATGTGCCACGCAGGTGCGGGCCACCGACGCTCTACAGTGCTCGTACCGTTGAGCACTCTTTGGTGAAGGTTCATACGGGTGGTCCCGACGGGTGAACGACGTATCCAATGAGAGACCTCAACTCTCCGTACAACTCGCACTGACCCATGGGGCTCACAGTCACCAGTAGCTCCGCCATCGAGCAGAGCACCACTCGCCGATCGCAGGCGTCGCCACTGTCAATCCGCGATTAGCCACTCGCGCTTTCAGTTGTGACACCGTTGTTCAGGACGTCGCGCCATTCGGCTCCGGTCAGCGCCAGTCCGAGCCCTCAAGCAGGCGCTCATCCAGAACACTGGGATGTAGTCAAGTACACAAGATGCACTGCGAGGGCCGCGGCAGGTCACGAGGGGAAGTCCCCTCTTCGTCTTTGACAGTGTGCCACCGAAGTGGGAGATTGTCAGTGAGACGACGGTATGTAAGGCGTGGAAAGGCTTCAAGCTCGTCTATTATTTGTATGACATGATCTCAATCCCTGCGCCAAGTCAACACGCTGTACTGGGGGGAATGTAAGAGGAAGAGTCGCTTGACGATAGACTACAGTACATGTCCTTGTCTACATGTCCTTATCAAGAGAAAAGATTGTTACATTTCCATTGTTTGCCGGCGCGCACGGCAAACCATGTAGAGTATCCTCGATGACATGCTTCGGTATGCATAGGGTGGGCACTGGCGGCCCGTCATGTACAGACACATATAGAATCGTATCGGTCTCGAATCTCGGAAATGCTAAGAACAAATAGTATTCACTTCCATCAATTGCTCGTCATGCGACGGCCCGCTTCTCTTCAATTCCATTAAATCCTGTCAAACATTTCGCCATCTCTGTCCGTCACAGTCTGGACACCTTGACACCTGAGGCGAGATCAGCGGTCTCGTCCAGGCCCAATGTTCTCACCTAGGGGAACATCGTTGCGACGACCGCGTTCTTGGTAAAACTGAACTTTGCAAGCAGAACGGCATCCCTGACACACTCGATCAGCCCGTTTCCATGCTTGCCCGCAATGCTACCGCTCACCTCGGCGATGCCGACACCTTGGACACCTTGCAGGCGTATCGCACCTCGTTGTCCCTGTCAATGTGCATCTTACCCGCTCCGGGGGTCATGTTTCCCGGCTTGCGGTTGCTCGTCCACGTGCCCCAAGGCACCCCTGGCATACGCAAATCCTCTCCCGTGACGTTGAACGTGAATGCCGTGTTGGGCGCGTAGGCGCTGACCAACATGGCGTGGTGTGTGGCGGTGAGCGCGCCAAAGACCTTCCAGCGTCAGCCGTGACCGCGTTCGTGACCACGCGGGGACTTGCCAGTATCACGTCCTCCCTGACGATGTCGTGCGCCGCACCAAAGTGCTGCATGATCCAGGCGATGTTGTTCATGAGGTAGTCCCTCGCTTCGTCGGTGGATCGATAGATCTCAAACTGGGCGTCCTCGACCACCAATCTTGCAGTCGTGGCAGAGGACCTGAGCGGGAAGGTGACCCTCCTGCTCACGAATGTCCTGGTGAGTGATGAGCATTGGAAGGCTTCAGCAAGGGGATGGCGTCTTCACTTACTCGGATGTGATGCCGGATGTGTTGACCCAACTGAGTACCTTGTTGACCGTGTCCAAGCCCCTGACGCTCTCCCATCCCCACTGGATGACGCCGCGGGAGTCGATCTTCGTGATGACGGTCTCGGGCGCACCAAACTCGCCCATGCAGAGCCTGGGGGGTCCCGGCAGATGCTCAGGCGGGTGATCCGCGTCGAACAGCTTGATGAACCTGCCCCAGCGGACATATCCAACAGAACCGAGCTCCACGACCGAAGGGCGCCAAATTGGGACTGTGAGGCGGTCGTCGAACTCGTGCTCGAGGAACTGGACGTATTCGTCGGCCATGAGTTCGCTGCGAGCCGAAGCCCCAACACTGGGTGCGGGCAAGACGCTGGACTGGGGTGGTTGGGGCACAGCCTCGGGCGGATCGGCGTCCTCCTCGGGGACAAGCTCGCTGCCGCGGTCAGTCCTGCACACCACGCAACGTCTCGTAACTCACTGCTGCGTACCATCCGGCGCGATATGCGAAGTCGCGCTTTCGGTACTGTCCGACGCAACTGCTCGCATCAGCTGAGGACATGTATATGCTCGTGGTAGCACGACTTGTCCGCAAAAGCCACTGTAGCGCCAAGTGATGACGTGTTTGTTGCTCACTTGTATCCGCCGTCTCCTTGCGCTTCGATTCTGCCTCGCGCATCCTGGCGAGTCGGTTGACGACCTCGGTCATCCGCGGACGTGCGCCCGGGTCCTGGGCCCAGCAATCTTGAACCAGGTCCCAAAGTTTGTGAGGCATCTTGTGTGGTTTCGACGGGCGCATCCCGGCAAGAACCGAGTTGCGGACATTCAGGTCGGTATCATTTCCGAACGGGATCGTCGCGGTGTATAGCTGTCCGACATCAGCGGCAATTGATGATTGTCGGCGTCGCTCACCTCGCATACGGAGATGGCAAAGGCGTAGACGTCCGCGGAGAAGGCACCCGGACGACCCTCCAGCCGCTCCGGAGGCTGCCAGCGCATGGAGCCCTGTAACCCCTGCGAACTCGCAACCTCCGACTTGAGCTGGCTGAGTCCAAAGTCACAGATGAGGGCCTCGCCCGCGTCAGAGACGAGGACGTTGGCGGCCTATTCATTGTCAGCCTTGCGCCACCAGAGGCCACCAAACCCACCTTGAAGTCGCCGTGGATGATGTCGCGCGAGTGGAGGTGCTCTAGACCGAGGGCCATCTCGTAGATCAGGTTGACGCGGCTCGAACGCTTCGCCACGCCGCTGTTGGGGTAGTTGAGCAGGTAGCTGAGGATGTTCCCGTTCTTCACTGTGGGACCTCAGAAGCCGTCTCGAGTCTACCGGTCGGTCGACTCACTATAAGGGGACACGATGAACCACGGGCCGGGACCGGTGGTGCTTGACGCGCCGTAGAAGGGGAGAATGTGCTTGTTGCGCAGCCGGCGCCACACCTCGACCTCATGCTTGAAGACGGTGGAGTCTTGAACCGAGTTGAGCTGCTTGATGGCGACGGTGTACGAGTTTTGCCAAATGCCGCGATAAACCTCGGAGAAATATGAACGGCTGGTGTGTCAGGGGGCTCAATCATGGCACTTACGCAATGCACGCGTCGTGCGTGATCTCCAGCGGCCCGATGGTCCACTGTCGTCGCTCAGTAGGAGCGCTTGTCAAAGACACATATCACTCACATCGGGAACTTCGAAGTCTTGTGGAGCGCTATGACGAGAGAGCACATCCAGAGCCTTCTGCACGTAGGTCCTGATGTTCTCAGCAGCCTGTCCCGACTGGCGCCGCGGTCCATCCTTCAGCGACTCGGGAGAGGATGTATTGGATGACAGCGTAGGCAGGGACACGTTCTGCCGGAGCAAGCTCGTAGAACTGGCAAAGAGGTGAACGCTCGAGGGTGCCGAGGGGACATATGGGGGCGTTGGGATAACCACCGTCGAGGCTTGACGGATTGAGGGCACAAAGAAGGGATTGGGCGTGTCCAGGGCGAGTGGCGAGAGGGGAGGGGCATTGTCCAACTCCGGGGGAGGGCCGGCAGGAAGGTCCGGAGAAGCCGCAATCGCATCGAGATTGGCAAGGACTCGCTGTAGGGTCTTGCGTGCCTCTGGAATCTCCTCGGCTGTAGGCATCAGCCAGGATACACCGACTAGCTCGCTTCCCCATCTCATCTAGGTTCCCTCTCCACACCAGGATCGAACGACATCGATGGAGATTGCGTCGCATGCCCCTCCCTCTCTGACGTGTATCTCCGCCCACAACAGCTCATGCGTTCCGGAAACTACCACTCACGTCGATTCATCAATGTCTTCATCATTAGCGGCTCGTCATAGAGCGACGCTTTCAGAGTGTTGCCGAACAAATCGTCGTCGACGTTCCCGTCCCCATCGCGGTTACCTTCCTCGAGCGTTGAGGCGATGTGGATCTCCATCTCGATGTGGAAGATCTCGATAAAGTTGCTGAGGTCGTCCTGAGCCGCTTGGATCTTGGAAGTGACCTCTTGGCTGCGTATCCAGAGCTTGATGAAGGGGCGTTGGGCGTATCGAGCCATGAGTCGACCAATGTACTTGATCTCCCTGCGAGGACATCCCAGTCAGTACGCTGGCGGAGTAGCAGTGCGCGTGAGATGGTACCGGGACGGTGGGAGGGGGCAATGTGGTCAACTTGG